GAGCGCCGCTGCGCTCCCAAGCGGTGCACTGTAGCAGTGCGCCACCGGGCCGGCCCCAGAAAAAATTTTTAAGATGTCAAAATATCATAACATACATGAAATATATCTATACCTATATAAATATATCTATCTATATCTGTCTACCTATCTATCTAAAATAGTTATGGTTGAGAAAATTGGGAATGACCGAAAACTTATAAAGCAGCAAAGTCCAAGATCAACTAGTTCAATGATTTTTGAATCTTGGGTTTCCACATGGCACAGCTTGAAAATCCCCACTGCTGTCAAACTGTGACAGAGCTCTGATCCATCGAAAGGAAATAAGAAATGAGATCATGGACTTGTTCACCAAATACAAGACAATGTGAAAAATATATTGTGTACATTAGCCAAAATTTTATGAGAGGTGGTACAAGACAAAAATGTGGTTAAAGTCTCCCTAAGAGTACAGGAAAACTCACAAACCAAGAGAATCACAGATAGCTAAGAGAAGACAGTGGTTTGTAGGAAACACATGGAGTATATTTATCACTAATGTTCCCCCCCCCACCACCAATACAGTATGATAGAAGCACAACCCTTGGACCCCCCAAAGGAACTATGTTTGAGTTAATATTAGGCAGAAAGTATCATAGATTAATTGTGGGCCCATGATATCTCATCTTCAAACCAAAATTAATTTTTCAAAACCTTGAGAGTTGCTGAATTTTTGCCACTTCAGAACACTGAACATAATTCTTTAAAAATAACTATGCATATAACAATGGCTTCTAATATTCACAGACCCCTCTAGGCACACTTTGGCTAGCATACTGCAGGCTAGTGATGGGTAGACCAAAAGTAGTTAATCTTTTGAAACACAGAAGTAATGTTAATGGGATGTGCTATATAACTTAAAAAGGTAAAATTATTTAAATATATAGTATAAATTAGAGGAATATTATAATATTAAAATGTTATATTCACTTAACAAAACTTAACTCTAAAAACACTACACTAAAGTAACTGACCTTCAGATGGGAAGAATATATTATATACACACATATTCTACAGTTCTACATATAACTTATTTAAAAGGATATCTATTATTAATGGAGTCGTCCATCACATTTTTGATGCTTTGCTGTAGCCACAACTTCTGTTGATCAAGTTCTTTTTCCTTCAGTTCTAGATCTTCAATTTCAGCTTTAAGGTATCTTAATCTATCTACAACTTCTTTAGTATTACAGCCAGCACCTACGCCTCTTAAAAACATAAGAATTAATACCCTCGGTATCTGACATAGGTTAACACCACTTAATTTTTGTAGTAATAAAGCTTACATTTAATAATATATTCCAGACAAAAATCTTTACACTATTCTAAAAATCGGGCATTAAAATCCTTAGAAAATTTAAATGCCATACTTCCAAATATGTATGCTTAGAAAATTTACTGATTGTCTACGGCCATACCACCCTGAACGCGCCCGATCTCGTCTGATCTCGGAAGCTAAGCAGGGTCGGGACTGGTTAGTACTTGGATGGGAGAAAATTTGCTGACAAGAACACCCTAATTACAAAAATTCTCAATCTGCCCTAAAGTGTTTTTTGTCATCTGGAAGGTCCAGCTGGTGACTTAAGTACCAAATGGATGCCCAAACTAAACAGTCACACCTAGCAGTCTTATGATGTAGACTGAGTTGCTGGTAAAATAAATTACAATCTTTCAGTATTTTGGTGGAATTTTGGCTAAAAAAACAAAACACTAAAGCCAAAGGGGATACATCTGAAGAACAGAAAATATTTCCTTGTTACAGTCAAATATACAACCAGGCAACAGTTAATAAATGACAACATGCATTCAATTAATTATTTACAAGGTACATATTCTTATGTATAAGACACAGTTCCTGTTTTCAAGGAGTTTCTATTAGTTGGGTAGATAAAGATTTAGGCAGAGAGGGATTAACAACAAAGCAGTATGCTAGTGAGTAGAATAAGGGAGAAAATAAGATTTGAACTTTTTAAGAGTGTAAATTAAACAGCAGAGAGAACAAAGGAACATCCCAACAGAGAAATGGCATAATCAGAGGTCCAGAGAGGTGTGTCCAGGGGAACATGAGGGGCTGACGTGACTAGAGGGCTGAGATAGAGGACTTAGGAGAGAGAAATGTTAGAAAGGTCAGATTTTACAGACATTGGGAAGAAAAGTAAAGGTTTTAGAATAGTGTGCTGGTTTGTAACTTACTTCCATTGGATACTATTTTTTGACTTTTTTTCAATCAGGTCAATTCCTTCTAAGACATTGGTGATATCATAAATTCTTCTTTTTTGCCTTACAGCCAAAGTATCTGCAGCCTGTTTAGGAAAAACAAACAAACAGAAAGAACAATGAAATAAAGGGCAATTCATATTTTAAAGCCAAAAAGGATTGGTTATTAAGTTCATAGTGTGAGAGTCCAATCCCAAATTTGACCCAGTCAGTTGCTTGGGAACAATAGCTTGGTATGTTCAAAGCATCTCCCAAACGTTGCAAATGCCAAAGAAAGTGTTCCATTTAAAAGCTAGCAGATGTTGGAATGGAAAAAAAAAATTAAGGTCATGACACAAAGCCCACAAAAATTAAAGAACACAATAAGAATACTTCATGTCACCTTATGGATTAATCCTGAGGAGGAGCTACTAATTGTCTAGCCATGTCACTTCCCATCTTATTTCTCTGTTCATAAACAATCTTGTCTAAGGACAGCCTTACTTGCTTTACAAAACTTTGAAAAATTATATCTCAGCAATTTTGGGGATAATTAAGACACTTGGGGGGTGGATTCTGAATTATTCACACACTTGTTATACTTTAAAATAACTATCTGCATTTTATAAACTCACAGTGAAAACAGAGAAATAAATCATGCCATCCCAACACAAAGCATAAAATCAATAAGAAATCAAAATCTATACCACAAGGTTGTTGTACCAGCAACTATCATCCAAAATCTTGGTAGTTTCATTTACATTAGATAAGATCAACAAAAATATGACACACTATCATGTTATGAATGAATTCAAGAACACTGTAAAGTTCCCTTAATTAGTTACCACTCATATTTCTGACATTTGTTTGCCAATAGAACAAAGAAAACCTCAAAGAAGATGTTACCATACAGATGAGTGGATCAGAGGACAGCCTATCTTGAATGTAGAGCCAAATTTTAAGATCTATAGTAGTAATGAGAAAACACACACACACATTTATGTCCCCACTGATAATTTTCAGCACATTATCTAAATTAGCGAACAGGATTTAGCTTTACATCATTGATCACCAGCTCTCCCAGGGCATCGCTACTTTCTTAATTCTGTGAAAAAGCAGCTCCTACAAAAACCCAGCACAGCATATTGTTTGCAATCTGGACCTGCCTTCCACAAGAAGCAAGAGCCACTGACAGCTACTGCTTACTTCATGGACATTTGGAAACTTAAGTGAAATGTCGCTTCTCTCAATCCATTTTCTTGTGTTACCAAAAATTCCAGGTTACTACTGTCCAATCATTCAGGTCTTCTTCAGGAAGGGGATTCATGCCTCAGTGGACTGGGAGAGTAAGTAGGATGTCGTAGAGAGAAGGAAGAACTGGAAAGTGGGGCTCTTTTGAGTCCCCAGCTCTGACTTGGCACCATTTCTTCTAGAGAACCAGAAAGTTAAAGAGTGGGACTAGGCACAGTTTCAATGATATCTTCTTCCCTTGTACTTAGCAATTCTCTCCTGTTTTATATATCTTCGGAAAATTTCTGTTCCCGAGTTTGAGGCTGTTTTTCTGAACAGAAATAGACTACTGCAAAGTTAACTGCAAAAATGTGAAGTTGAGGAGTCACCTTTCACTTTCCTCTGAAAGGCCCTCCAGAAGTAACCCAGGACACTCCAAGCCGCAGCTCTATGTTATCAGAACCTATGTACTCAGACGCAAAAGCATTCACAACCATAGCAACAGCTCACCGGTGCTGGTATTAGATGTGTTTGTACAAACCAGACCACAAGAGTTATTCTAGGTCATCAGGCAAAGTGCCATGAGATTTAACTTTTAGCTCAAAATTTTAAACAAGTATCTCGTTTATATTTATTACCACTTAACAGTCACAACATTTAACCCTTGGTTTCCAAAACTAAACATTATTTCTTAAATACTTTTTAAGTTTATAAACACATAAATGACCAACTAGTACAGATCATATCACTTAAAAGGGTCTCCAGGAGGCTTTTATTTTAGCTGTCACATCATTCTTCAGGAGTTAGGTTCTGGAGTTAGACCCATGGAGGTCCAGTCCTGGCGCTGCCACTTCCTATCATCGGCTGGTCTCTCTCTTTTTTTTTTTTTGTGCCAGTACAGGTCCAAACTCTTGACCTTGGTGTTATAACACTGTGCTCTAACCAACTGAGCTAACCGGCCAGCAGCTGTCTCTGAAGCTCACTAAGCCGCATTTCCTTTTGTGTAAAATGGTATAACAACATATACTGAATGGGGGTATTACGGGGATTAAACTGGGTAATCTTAGCACAATGTCTGTTGCATAATTAATACTTAAATGTTGGCTAGTAACAAACTCATCATCAAGTACAGGTTGAAATGGGATCGTGGATAAGTTTTAGAGTGTGGGTGTATGCAGACCTACCTTGTTTAATACGGTGTTTTAAAAAGTTGTGGGTGAATTCTTAAAAAGCTTTATTAAGGTGACCTTGATCAGAGCTGGCTTGGCAGAGTGGTGGGGCCAAAAGCCTTAATGAAGACATTTCAAGAAAGAGTGGAAGGAAAGCTAGAGTAGACAACTCTTTTGAAGAGTTCTGCAGCAAGGAGGAACAGAGAAATGGGGCAATATCTGTAGAGAACTGTGTGGTCTCTGGGAAATGTTTTTTCTTCCTTTCTCTTTTCTTTTACAGATGGGAACTATTTCAGCATGTGAGTAAACTGATAGGAATGATGTGGTAAAGGGGGAGAGGGATAATTAACGATGCAGAAGGGCGAAGGGACAGTCACTAAAGAGATGACTGTAGGTAAGCACGGGGGGTGGGGGCATGAGATGCTAATCAGACCAGCTGGGGGGCTAGCCTTAGAGAACAGCAAGACAGTAGATAAGTTTTAGAGTGTGGGTGTATGCAGACCTACCTTGTTTAATACGGTGTTTTAAAAAGTTGTGGGTGAATTCTTAAAAAGCTTTATTAAATAATTTAAGACTTGCACACTTAACAGAATCACACCATGAATCCCCACCACCACCACCACCTTCATTCATTCATTTAACACCTACAATGTTACAGGGACTTAAGGTTCTGGGTCTTAAGAATACAGTAGTGACAGAACAAAGTCCCTGTTTGGATGGAGGAAGTGGCTGTGGAAGTGGTGAGAAATGGTGAGATTCTCGATATATTCTGAAGGTATAGCTGTTTGCTCTGAGAGAGAGGAGTAGAGGATGACTCCAGTCTTTTTTTTTTGAGTAATTACAGATGAGGAATACTACAAGAGAAACAGGTTTGGGGTACTGGAAATCAGGAATTTCACCTTGGACGTTCTGACATCCAAGGAAGGAAACCAATTGGACATGTGAGTGTATGCCCCAGGGGAGAGGTCCAAACTAAAGATATGAATTCAGTAGTCATCAGTGAATAGGCATTTTAGGTTGCAAGATGGAATCTACCAGGTTCACCCAAGAGGTGAACACAGAAAGAAGGAGCCCAAGGACTGACTCTGGGGCAGTCCAATGTGTAAGGCCTGGGAAATGGGGGCAACCTGCCATTGAAGAGGAGAAGCAGGAAGACTGGGGTCTTGGAATGCAAAGAGGAGAGTGTAAGAAAGAGTGAGCATGTCAAGTACTGCCATGAGGGCAAGTCACCGAGAACCATCGGTGGACTTACCTTTGGAAAGATCACTGGTGACCTTGATCAGAGCTGGCTTGGCAGAGTGGTGGGGCCAAAAGCCTTAATGAAGACATTTCAAGAAAGAGTGGAAGGAAAGCTAGAGTAGACAACTCTTTTGAAGAGTTCTGCAGCAAGGAGGAACAGAGAAATGGGGCAATATCTGTAGAGAATTGTGTGGTCTCTGGGAAATGTTTTTTCTTCCTTTCTCTTTTCTTTTACAGATGGGAACTATTTCAGCATGTGAGTAAACTGATAGGAATGATGTGGTAAAGGGGGAGAGGGATAATTAACGATGCAGAAGGGCGAAGGGACAGTCACTAAAGAGATGACTGTAGGTAAGCACGGGGGGTGGGGGCGTGAGATGCTAATCAGACCAGCTGGGGGGCTAGCCTTAGAGAACAGCAAGACATATTAATAAGAGAAGTCCAGAAGGGTATTTGGGTACAGATATAGGTAATTTAGTAGACAAGGCAGGGAAAGAGGTTAGATATTTCCCTCTGACTGCTTTTTATTTCTTCATCAGCACTGGGGTGGTGGGGGAGAGGGAGGAGATGAGTAATAGTTGAGAAGGGAGAAAACTGTGTGAAATACTCACATAAGACAACAAGAGAGTAGGTAGTGCAGGAGGAATGCTGGACAGTACTTGTGAAGTTAATCGTCAGGAAGTTAAAATGAGACCCATCACCATCATTGTGCATTTTTCTCCAGCCCTGGAGAACTCCCCGGGTATAGCCAAAGGGCGGGCAGAGAACAAAGTGAGTCTCCATTCTCTTCCCATGCTTGCCACTGTAGCTGTTGTTCACACACGCATGCATCAAATTTACTCAGAAAGGTTGCATTTACTACAACAGGATTTGACCTGTGTAGCCATAAAGGAAGCATCTAATTGTATCACACCAACTCAGTTTACAGGAAAAATAAACAAATGAACAAAAATAACCCTTTGAAAGAAATAGATCTCCCCTCCAAATATTAAATCCCTCTCTAAAAATATGATGTGTCACTAATGGTGAACAAGGCAATGTCTATAGGTGGAACAAAATTAAAGCTTGTGATGTTTTTAAGAGGTGGGCAAGACAAATAAACCAGGACAGGTGGGAGCGATAGTATATAGGTATTAAAAAAAGGGCTTTAATAATCATGTGGCCACACCCCTTCACTTGAACAAATGAGTCCACTAAGACCCAGTGTTACCTCTGGACAGGGAGAGAGATTATGTGGCAGCTTTATTTGAGTTACAATTAGTTGTGGCTCATTTGCTCAGGGATGTTCTTCTGATGGAGCATAATGCTGCATTCAAAAAGGCTAACATCCAAACAATAACTATAGGCAACATACTGTCTTTCAGGTTCTCCTTCTGTAAAGCAGGTGCTTTACTCTCTTCCAGGATCACAACAATCAGTACATGTGCACTCAATGTTTTAGCTACTGTGCTTCAGAAATTAACATCACA